GAAGTGCAAATGATGTTATAGATGAAATCTTAGGGGTAAAAATTAGGGTATGACACACATCAACCTACGTCTTTATGATATCCACCCCAGATGCATCTCGAAAATACCCTCTGAAATCATTTAAAGGCATATGACATAGGATATTTCATATATACATCTCGGGAAATCCCCTTGGATGCTTTCAAGGAAACAATATTGTCCCAACATTGAATTTTTTTAGACCAAATCATATTTTAGGTGATTTTAGTCCATAAATTAAAAAATGGATACACTAATTAATTTAAACATGCACTAAAAGAGTCACACATTAGTTAAATTAAAATAAAAATGTGCATTAAATACATAACTTGTTTCGATAAACAAAAAAATATAATTAAACATAAACTATTGGGTCTGTCAAACCCCCTGGTTTCTCCTCCGACTGTACTACAAGGCATTATGTGCCTCGACAATCATGCCTTCTATGAGGGCCAACTGGGAAATGTCTTCCTCAAAGAGTCTTGCCTCTATTCCTGATCTTCCCATCTCTATAATATACCGATAGACCGCAGATACGTCCTCGGTGTGGCCATCCCTAGCCTTAAGCACATATTGATTAGCTGGTCTAGGTGGTTTTCTAAGAGAGCCTGGTGTCATGATAGGGTGTGGCACCCTATAGAACCATGTCATATAGTTGTCTGCATAAGCCCAATGTACAGAAGTTGACACCTTGCGATATTCCTCTGGTACCAAATGACTCTCAAAATCTTCAAGTATCACATCAAGATCTTTGCAACAGACGGTGGGAGGAGTGGACTCAAAGGGGGTCTCAAAATAACCTGAAAATAGTTAAACTGGCACATCACTCGCTCAAGAAGATTAGGATACAATAGAGTTGAACCACATGTCAGCCATCCGGAGTATAAGAAGATGACGTCCAGCTGACGCGTCTGGCGGTGATCATAGTATGGGCAGAAGGAAATGTCATCTTGTACATGAAGGTCGAGATACACTATAAATGACTCGATTGCATTATTCCCCTTGTACGAAGTAAAGGCGGCAGCACACGGCCAATCCTCAGTGTAAGATGACACAGATTCCCACTCGGTGATGCGAGGGAAGTGGGAAATGATTCATCACTAAAAATGGTTCAGATACAATATTAGTCACAAGTGTAACAAATAAATTATTAAAATATTAGTAACAATAAATTACCATAAGCAACATGTAACTTTTTGTCATCTGCTTTGTCTTTCAAAGACATTCCTTACCTAGCTTCGAGTACATGTAGAGCAAACAAGTAACCCCCAGTTATACACGTGAATCATCGTCAAGTTGATGAAGTACGTAAGGTAGACCACATCGCCGTAGGTTACACTTTTATCCATAAAAATGGATGTGCCAACCAGAAACAAGAGGTAGCACCTCAACGCACGATTTTGATGGTACTCAATTTGCATACCATCATCATCGGCCTCCACAATACACCACATGTGATCTTTGTAGTGGTCTTTCAAAATTTTAAATCTAGCATGAGCACCTCTATTGTCAGCTACCTCATTTTCCGCCTTAGTTGTGCCATCCTCCTAATATGTAACCAGCATCTCATCGACTTCCTCTCAATCGATCCTCCAGCGGCCCAGTAATTTTCCCTTTATAGGAAGATGCGGGAGGCACAAGAGATCATCTAGGGTGATGGTTATATTTCCAATTGGAAGATGGAAAGATGACGTCTTTGAATACCATCTTTCATCAAATGCCACATGTATGCCATGGTTTATGGTCATGTACACAGTAACACATAAGTCGGAAAGATCAAAACAAACGAATAACATCCTTGAACCAATCAGAGTCGGGCATTACCAACTCCAATATCTTCCTGCCTTGGTTTACTGATTTTAAACATGCACACTCTTGTAAAAATATATATCACCACCAATCTCGATTTAATTAGTTTAAAGCATATGTATTCCAAAAGTGAACAAATATACCTCTTCTTTCCAAACATGCCTAGCAGTATGGTATGCATAGAGATGAAGTAATGAGGTGTCATATGGGCCTCCTGGATAAATATCTAAAGGGGCATCAGCATCAGGTTCCCCCTGGGCTTCAGGGGCTTTAGATGTTGCTTCATTATTTGGGGACTCGTGGCCCCGTGAAGTAGAGGCCTGAGACAGACTACTACAAGAAGTAGAATAAGATGGTTAGAAACCTCGGCGTTATAAACCATTAAACGAGGTTTCATCAACTCATGGTCCTACTAGTGGCCCTCTCGCATCGTTCTAATGTGGTTTGTGACACACGATTGAGCCTAATTATGCCAAGGCAATCATTGCACCTGGGTTAAAACCAGATATAGTCATATAAAAAATGCAACCAAAACTCTGCAAGATTAAAATCCGAAGACACATCTCCGAAAATAGTTCAAAAAGAATCCAGAGATGCATCTCCAGACAAAGTTGCGATTTTGCAGAAATGACATGAACGTCATTGTTGCATTAAACTCCAAACAACTCTCATTGCATGTCCATTTAGGCTATCTATTTCGATTGCACACCATCTAATGTAGCTTAAACGTCTCATGTTTAATAAAACATAATTCAAAACACAAAAAAAAAGGAATGATTTTTGAAAAACTTACCAAATCTAAGTTGAAAAGCTTGAATGAAGTGTGAAGTTTTGCATAAAATGAAGTAGAATGCAGTGAGAAGTTTGTTTGGATGAGAAGCTTGAATGGCTGAAGAAGAGCACCAATTGATTTTTTTGAGGTTGAGTGAGTTTTTAGAAAATGAAGGAGGTGGAGGGAAGTTTCTGGAGTGGGTTAATGTATTAAACGCATCCAAAGATGCATATCTGTACCACCCACTAAATTTTGAATTAATAGTGTTTACAGAGATGCATCTCCAGACTTACCTTTTATACATACGAAGATGCATTTCCGAACGCTATGGACAATTGTGACTTTTTCACGTTGGCGGGGGAGCACCCCTATGGATGAGAAAAGTAACCCCGTAATTTAAAAAAATAAAAGGTTATCTATTCTTCTTTGTCTTATATGTGTTGTCCATAATCAACAAAACATTCAACAACTTCACTGAATTTGTGTGCGCCCAAAAAACATCTCTCAACATTTATGTCATCGCTTCTTCTACTTTAGTAAACATAATTTACATCATTTGTCATCTTAAATAGATGTTGTATCTCAGCTCTAGGACCATTACACTTAGTTTTTATTAACTTTGAAGAAGGCATATGATCAGAGTGCCAAGAGATATTTTGTGGAAAGTCCTACAGAAAAGGGTTTAAATTGTATATATTTGAGATATTCAAGGTGTATATGAAGGGGTATCGACTAGTGTGCAGATATAAGGTAGAGAGATAGATGATATCTCCATTACGAAAAATTTGCATCAAGGTTCAACCCTTACCCTTTCATCTTAATTTTGGATGTACTCATGGAACACATCAAAGAGTTGGCACCGAGATGCGTGTTTCTTCTAGATAATACAATCTCACTTGAAGATTCGAAGGATGACTTAAATGAGAGGTTGGTGACGAGCTTTAAAACGTATGGTTTCACATAAGCAGAAGTAACACAGAGTATATAGAATGTCGGTTCAACAAAAGAAGAGGTGTTTCTAACATAGAAGAGAAAGTTTGAGACCATAACATCCCTTAAATTACACAATTTAAATATCTTGGTTTTCATAATACAAAATAATGGAGAAATAGAAAGAGATGTAAATCATCGAATTTAAGCTGGGTGGCTGAAATGGAGAAGGGGAAATTTTGTCAGACTGCAATAAAACCTGCGATGTTGTACAAGACAAAATGTTAGACGATTAATAATCAACACAAAAGTAAAATAAGTGTAGCACATGGAGGATGTTGTGTTGGATGTGTAGTAAGACTAGACATGATAAGATTAGAAATGAAAATATTATAGAGCGTTGGGGTAGTGCCTATAGTAGAGAAGATTGTGGAAAATATACTTAGATTATTTATTCATGTAGAGAGAAGACATGTAAATTATGTGATAAAGCGAGTAGATCAAATGGAGAGAACTCAAATAATTAGAGAAAGATAAAGACTTAGAAAGACTATAAGAAAATTATTAAGAAAGATCTAATTTTGGATAGAAGAATGGTGTTGGATAGAACATTATGACAAAAATCGATCAATGTAACTAATCCCACTTAAGTTGATCAATGTAACTAATCCCACTAAGTGGGATAAGACTTGGTTATTATTGTTTATATATTTGTGATCCAAATAACATTCTTTGGATTCCACTCTTGCAATGAAAACATTGTGTCCGAGTAGAACATGATATTTTGTCAATTCAACGTGTTGTTTCTTATCTATCATGTAAACTAAAGTGTAGTTGTGAATCCACATCTTACATCAATCTTTAATCTTGAACCAACTTTAGATTGTGTTGATCTAATTTTAAATGGACACCGCAATTTTTAGTCGCACTCTGCATTGCACTACCCACTTCCTTTTATTTTCCACCTTTATTACAATCAAAGATTCATTTGTTGTTTATTCCATTTTAATATCTGAACGAATAATTATAACAATCACAGAATTAGTGAATTGTCTACATCACCGTACTAGATTGTTGACTATCAATCTCATTGATTCCCTTGAGTGATTTTATCAAATGATATAAATATATAGAAATTTAATCTAATAAACTTTAGGGTATTGCTAACATGTGCCTAAGGCATATGTTAAGAGATAAATGTGAAAAAAAATTGTTGGAAGGGCAAATTTTTCATTCCCTTTTCCGATACAAATTTTTCTTTTTTAGGTTTCTTAACATGTGTCCTAAGGGCAAATGTTAGCACTATCCTAAACTTTAATACTTAATGCAGTTTCCTTTAAGAGGAACCAGAGTTCATTATCGAAAAGGTTGGAATAAAGTTGAGAGTTATTACAGTAAATAATTCCTCTTCACACGAAGGAAGCAGAGTTTATTATTTCTTCATCATCATCATCATCATCATCGGCCTCGGCTACTTGCGTTGAGACTTAAGCTCCTGTACTCTCTTTTCAGTATCTCGTAAAGCTTTCCCATAAATGCTGATCAACTGGAAAAAGGAATACAAATCTAACTTATACTAAAATGTAACTTTAAAGCCTGCATTTTAGTAATCATATAGCACAAAATGTCTACTGAATAATTAAAAAAATTAAAAAGAGGGAGATATAATATAGTTCTCCCTCTGATCCAAATGTCAAATTTAGAGAAAATTTTCTCAATTTTATTAAGTGGTAAGAACGGAAGTTTGTTTGCGAAGTTACCTCATCAACTTCTTCAGGAGAGATGATAAGCGGTGGACATATCATGATAGTATCTCCAGCTACACGAACTAACATGCCATGTTTCTCACATTGTGCTCCGAAATAGGCACCTATTCCTGTAAAATACCTCATAGTGTCAGAACAAACTGGTAAATATGCCCACATCCACATAAAAATAGCACCCTGCTTCAAAGTTTGAACCAGTGAGCTGATTTACCATAAAAAATAAGAGTAGAGCAGAAATATGAGCCCTTATAGAACATAAAATTCAATTTATTATGTCATTTTTATAGACTCTTAGCTTGAGAGGAGGCAACTCACTTAAATGTCTATATGTCTCACTCAGATTGAGATTACTTATCAAAGGATAGTTATATAGTATATGTTTCATTTAGGTAGTGTGGTACTCAAACTACTGAAAATAACATCAGACAGAATAAAAGTCGTGTTGTATAAATTAAGGAATGGGTGAAAAATAAGTCTTGAACTTGCCCCATTCAGGAGGAAATAGATCATTAGGTGATTTGTTGTCTGTGAACTCAGTCCCCAGGATCAAGCCAGTTCCCCGTATCTGCAGATGCGGAAGTGTTACCGTTTACCTTTATATTATCCAATTATCAACCACATAATTAAAATTAAACAAAGAAAAGTATATACTTCTCCAATGATGGGGCTATCAGAAAAAGCTTTTAGGCCATCCTGAAACTTTGGAGATATCTTGTTCACTATGTCAACAATATTTCTTTCCCTGTGAAGATACGAAATTATCACATTCCATAGCAAAAAAAGGTGAAAGCAGATACAATAAGGTTCACATCAGTTTAAAATGGTAGAAATAAAGGAACACACTTGTAGATCTTGAGTGCTTCATGTGCGACAACACAAGGTACGGGCGATCCAGAATAAGTGAACCCGTGAGAAAATGATCCTAAAATAAGCAAGCGTGTCAAAAATACTAAACCTAAAGATGAGGTGTTGAATGAATGAAAATGAACCATCATACCAAGTTTGTTGCTCTGAGAATGTAGAACCTCGGTGATTTCTGGGCTCACCAAGACTGCTCCAATTGGCATATATGCCGAAGAAAGTGCCTAGCAGTCAAAAAGAAAATAAGGAACATAGTGCAAACTTCTAAAAATATGAAAAGGTGAATCTGTAATTAGAGATGTTCCATTTTACCTTTGCCAAGGAGACAAGGTCTGGCTTAATGCTATATTTGTCGCATCCAAACATTGACCCGAGCCTCCCAAAGGCACATATCACCTTTAAAAGAGACATAACAGCAATTAGAAAGGAAAACAACAAACAGGATACCCTAAATGAAAGTATTTGGAGAGTTAAGGAAGTACCTCATCTGCAATAAAAAGGATATCATACTTCTTGACAACAGCTTGGACCTACAGAAGAATTAAATGCTATAAGGAAAAAATTGGTTTCCCTCTTTCATATTCTTTTTTTAGGGGGAGGGGTGGAGGAGAGGAAGAGCAAAAATTATGCTAATATTCCTTTTTTTCAGAGGGGAAGGGGGTGAATATTTTGTCAATTAACATCACATACTAAAGAAACTCCCATCAAGCAAATCTTGACGGCAGTTTGCAAAATGGAATTTTTAAGATGTGCGAAATGGCATCAGTTCCATTCCATATATTCATCCTACTTAATTGCATTTATTCCACCTGTTGTTAGTTTAGACAAAGAAAATCATAAAAACAACCATTTATTAGATAGGTAGTGATGTTACTCAAAAATACACCTAGTTATATATACTTAAGTAGGTCAAATACTATAATTACTACTAGTTCAAGCAGATGCCCAAATTTGCTAGACTACTAACCCTAATATCATCTAGCTGTTCAACTAGAAATACTTTACAAATAATTCCATCTAGACTTCAAGTAATTTTCATGCCTGTGGGACCGAGAATAGAAGTGAAAAATTACTAGAAGGAATTACTAATAAATAAGAAAATGTTGCATTTCTTAATAAAATAAATAACGTTGGTACTTCCTTTCCTAATAACTTTGTTTTCTTCACTTCATATAGAAATCCTTGAAATATATAATAAGGTGAAAACAAAGTGACATTTTTGTAAGAAATTGAATAAATGGAAATAAATAATGTTTTCTCGTGTCAAACAGTCCATCCATCTATCTTTAAAATGTGGAACTCATGTCTGAAGCATTGATAATGAGAAAATACCTTATCAAAATAAGTTGCTGGTGGAAGTATTACACCTCCAGCACCCATCACTGGCTCTGCAATAAATGCAGCAATCTGTAACAAAAAACAAATAAGTTAGTGATAGCGTTGATGCTCCAGTAGAAGGAAACACTTTGCATGTATATACTAATATATTATTACTGTCTCCGGTCCCTCTTTCAAAATTAGCTCCTCCAAATTGTTGGCCAATCTGGTTGAAAACTCTTCCTCAGTCTCACCTGAGATGTCATAAGCATGCATAATGTTTAGACCATAATAGTCCTAACACATTACAAACAATCATGTCCATCTAAATAATGACCTGGAAGATGATGACGCCAGTAGTGTGGACAATCAGTATGCAAGACAAAAGGAGCTGGCAGATCAAAATTGTTATGCATAGCTGGAAGACTGTAATACACATTGTCCAGTTAATTGAATAAATAACTTTTCTTAAATAGAATAAAATTGTTCTACATAAGCACAAGTTTGCTGGAAAAAATGGTTGTTCACGGTACCCAGAAAGACTGGCTGCTATTAATGTTGAACCATGATACCTGACAAAATGCAGAAATACTTGAGTTACTATGCATACTTTTCAGGTATATTACAGACAAAATTATTGATTGAGATGTCATGCGTACGCTTTAGTTCGAGCTATGAATTTTTTCTTATTTGGTCTTCCAAGTGCATTGTAATAATACCATACAATTTTAACCTGTGAGAAAAGAAAAATAATACATATATGATGAAGTTTAGCTAAAACGTATTCTACATAAACTGTGTACTTCAATATATGTTGACATGACATCTACTCAAGTTTATTTAATGATCACTTTTGATTGAGAATATATTTCATTTTGTCTTATGTATTTAAGATACTTCAATACTTGATAGCTCCTAGGTTTGCCCTGCTGGTGGTACTTAATGCATGCAGTATATGTATTTGAAATTACGGTTTTGTTGCTAAACTTCTATTTTGACAGAGAAAATGAAGACATTTGATTTGAAATATTTATCATACAGTTGAGTGAAATTTATAGGGTAAAATGTAGGAGATTAACAAATCAAAGAGGATATTAATCAGACACACCTGAGTGTCATTGGCTTCTGATCCACTATTAACAAAAAAAGCTTTACCCATTTTCCTGGCTGTAAAAAATTCTAGGAGTTCCTTGGCTAGATCCTGTATAAAGAAACATATATTAATTAAATATCAAAATGGAAATCAAATGATTCAACATCAACTGTGTACATGACAAGAAGGTAATTGGTTTTTTGCAGTGAAAGGAATCTAGAAGGTTTAGTCTGTGTATAGGAGTTGGATAGCTTAAACAAATCAAAATATCATTCTCCAGTCCCCACCATTTTTCTCCCCACAATTAAAAGGGCAGAGTTTATATTCCTCTGCAAAAAGCCCAAATTACAGTAGCCTTCCATCTAGAAAGTGAAACCTAGTGCCAGAAAGCTCCCCCTCATGGCCAGGTTCAGTGAAAGATCTAATTTACTGTGGATGTATTGAAAGAATTATTACCCTGAATTTACAAGAGGCTTCCATCTAATAGAAAAATTACACTCCTCTCCAATGAAAGATAAAAAAAAGTGCTAAAATTAGTTCATTTGAATGTAAGCAACCATCTAAGTATTGATCAACAATTATGAAAGATCTTCAAAAAGTACATTTTACCCTCTGCAAGTTTTTATGTCACAGACAAATAATATTAACGTTTGCCATCAATTTTGGAACATTGAAAAGCACAACCAGGATAATGTCGCCTGGGATGGTAATTGTGGTAGCGGCAGTGGCGGATGTGGCTGGAAAGCAATCAAAACAAGTGTCGGAATGGGAAATGGCAGTAGAAGAGGGGGCAAATAGGAGTTGAGACTCGGTTTGCTGAAAACGTTTCTCACCGGAGGACAGTGGATCCACCGGGTAAGCACAGTGTAGGGTTTCCTATTAATAGGCTCTGATACCATATTGAGAATATTAGAGACATGCAGAAAACAACGTGCTTCAACTACACAACAGAGTCTCTTCATATAAAGTTGACGAAATAAATGCAAATAATTTCAATAATTACATGATATTCAACCCTAATGACTTGATATTCTATCGTTATTTACACCATTCTATTTTATTCTTAACGGTTATATTATAAAACTACTTGATTTCCAAGCTTGAACAAACAAGCATGTAATAATTATTAGGGCTTCTACAAGTCTTTCTCCAAGCATGAGGGAGCAACCTACAGCTAGATTGTGCATTGTGCATCTAATTCCAATAGGTTTTACCCAGACATTTTGTTCAAAGAATTCATTCTTAACTCAAACCTCGTGACCATTGTGATGGATCTCTTGTGTAAAAGGGAAGAGCAAATGAAAGAAAGCAATAATGTAGAACCAATTTACAAACAAGAAATACAAACAAGCATAAAATAATGTTGAGTTAGCTATAACAGATTGATATGAGTACCAGTGAAGGTTTTGTGGTTCGATTCCAGAAGGAATGGTAAAATGGCAATTTGTTTAATTGTGCAGTGGCAGCATCAACAAGGCGTTTCTCGCTTCCCCCTGCAAAATAAAATGCATTTACTGTCAAAGTAAATCCCTTAAATTATAACAGATACTATCCTATAAAACATTTTGACAATGATCACATACCTTTGCAGTTTAGTGAAAATTCAAATTTAATGACAAAGTTAGCACTCTATTTATATGTAAAAATGGTTTGGCCAGTTAGCCAAAGCAAGACCTAGAAGGTGTAGAGTCCTCAGATGGCAGCAGAAGAGGAAAAGCATGCCGGAAAGTGCTGGAAGCATACATAGCACGCATAGGTTGGAAGAAAAACTAAGATTGGAATGACTACATCTGGGTAAAGTCAACGGGAAAGATTAGGGAAGAGAGTCATGAAACCGCCTTTAGGACCAGGAGATATAACTATTTATATCCCTGGTTTACTTAGTTGCTGTTTTAGTTGTTTGGGTTTGCTTAGGAATTAGACTTTTGTAGCTCTAGTGCCTGTTAGGTTTAGTTAGGGTGTTAGTTGATAGTTATCCTTTTTTGTAACTTGTGAGGTGTATATAAGGATGCCCAGGTGTAGTTAGGAGGTTAGGATTTATTTTGTTTACATGATTGGATTAGCAGTGTGCAGAGAGTAGTCTCTCTCAACTAAGTAGCTGTAAGGTAGTTATTTTTTACAATGGAATTTCTTGTTTACTAACTGCTTGGTTTCTTGAGAGTAGGGGGAATAAAAAAGAGGGAAAAGGGAGAATTTGAGACACCAGAAAGTGACATTTGTGGAGTGGTGACTGGAGAGTTCGGATCTTTAGAAAACCTGAGTGCAATTCTTTCATTCAATTCCAATAGAGAAATCATTCTTTCGTTCTTTCTTTCTTCCCTCACAATCCAGTTCTTATCAAACTGACAATATCTTTCTTTGATTATATTAAAACCACACTTTGAAAACAGCACAGATTCCTTCCTTTTTCAGTAACAAAGTCATTTTCCAATATAATTTTATTGTTGTTAAGCACCACAAATTCCTTCCTCTTTCAGTAACCGAGTCACTTTCCAATATAATTTTATCATGAGCTACTAGAAGTACAAAAGTACTGGATCTTTACACAATTCAGCCAAGAAACCAGGGAATTCTGCAAAAATAGTCACACAACTCTGGCTTTCATTCTTATTGCCAAGAAACAAATAAAAACAACAACCCACAATAAATAGTGGGAACTGAGATGGAGCCAGGGGACGAGGTAGAGTGTACACTGAATGGGGTTATAATTTTCAATTTGAACCACCCAAAAAAATTTTGCACCACTAGTTCAAGATATCTTGAATTTGTTTGTTTTACGCCCTCTGGGCCAAGGTCTTGGATTCATCAATGGACGGATCCCTGAGCAACTTGGCATAATTTTGAAGTTGGTCGAAGAGACAGCAAGGTAGAACAACAACCGAGCCTTATCCCACTAAGTGGGGTCAGCTACACGGATCAAATTCCGCCATAATGTTCTATCAAGAACCATGCTTTTCTCTGATATATATATATATATATATATATATATATATATATATATATATATATATATATATATATATATATATATATATATATATATATATATATATATATATATATATATATATATATATATATATATATATATATATATATATATATATATATATATATATATATATATATATATATATATATATATATATATATATATATATATATATATATATATATTCATTGTTTTCTTCTGTGTAGCCCTAATAAAACCTTTGTCAGTAATAAAAATTTCTAGTATTTCATTGTTTTCTTCTTATAGCCCTAATATATTTTGAGAACATGAACCAAAGGAATGTCATTAAGAAATGATTAAAAGGAAATTTGAGATATCAAAGCAAAGGAAAAAAGATAAGTATATAGGCATAATTAAAAAATCATATATACCTAAAGCAGTGCACCATAGACTAGCAAGTGCGTCAAGATATTTTTTCCCATTAATGTCATACACATAGCATCCCTGGATTAATTATTCAGGTAAATTACGCACAAAAACGAGTTATTTTTTGAATAAAAACAAAGTAAGCCTTCATTTACTCATGTACTGTACATTAGTGTAATCCTATTAAAATCAAAGAAACATAGCATGGAAGTAGACCTCAGATTTTTCAATAACCAAAGGATTCAAATCAGTAGCCTGCCATCCAGCTGTGAAAGGGGCAAGCATATCATGGCCCTTGAACCTGAAATAATCAAAATACTTCAGCAGATTTACACAAGGTAATCATATCAAGCTTAAACTTTAAGATTAATTTTTATCGTTTACTTTTTAAAAAAATAAACTTTGGGCATGGACTCTCCACCAGAACATTTTTTTTTTACCTATGGGTGTACTTAGAGCTGCTACAAAACTCAATAAGAATCTCACGAGAAGAGAAGGGTGTCAGATTATGTATCCAACAATATTCATCAACGAATCTGAGTTATAAACACTGGACTAGAGGGTGGTTGTCCCAATCATTCAATTCTTCCATTAGATAATAAAAGGGTATTTACACATCTTCTTTTATACAACTAGCTTGTCGGAAATCTCAAGTCTCAACATAAGAGTGATAAAATCTAGCACCATAGTTTATCATAAAAAACAGCGGTTGTCTTATCAAGCTCAAAGGTGCCAAATTAGATGAGTTAGATAGCGATGTTTAGTTCTCAAAAGCACACATGCAAAAGTTGAAAACAGTTAGTACAGAAGAACCACATACCCTTGGTTGGGTTTCACATCGGCAGTTGAATTATCCGTTGCCGAAGAAGATTCTGTACTACTTGACCTAGACCATAAGGGAGCCTGAAGTAGATTATCCTGAAAGCATTTGGGAACTGCTGCACATACTAAAGCAGAAACCCTCTGTAAATAGAAAGAAAAAAAAGGTAAGAATAAGAAAAGAACGAATTGCATTTGAATAATCTATTTATCTTGAATCAGATCAATAAATTAGCATATACAGTAGTTCACGGTTAAAGAAACAGCAATACAAACAGGTAAGGCAGCCAAAATATTGAAATTCTAGACAACATATATAACACCTTCAAAAATTACTATATTGCTTCTAACTTAGAATTCACAGATATTGGAAACTTTTTACTGATAATGAAACTTTTTATTTTAAACTTATTTCACTAATAATGAAACTTTTTATTAGTCCATTAGAAAAGAAAACAACGAAATACTAAAAATCTAAAAGCATGAAAACTAGCCAGTCAGAAAAGAAACAAACAATTAAATACAAGAAATCTGAAAGCATGAAAACTATACATTATCAGATGCAAGAGTACAGTCGATTCCCAGAATTCCAATAGCCATATAAAAGTGTAAACACTGTTGTAAATTTAATATACTATATGAGGAATACCCCAACATTTTCAGCACTATCTAAGCTAATGTGTCAAGTGGAAGAACATCAAATAACCTATGGGGAGGAAGCAAAAACAATTCTAGAGATGTAGAACTGATTTTGGAATGATCATAAAGTGTTGGGTTTTTCTAAAGTAGAATTGATTCTGCCTCTAGAATTTATTCTACTTGAAGCTAGAATTTGTAACTTTCAAGTTTAAACACGATTTTTACATTGAAATTTACCTTTCAACTTACTTCTACATAAATTTATCCAAAAATAATTCTAGATAAATTTATCAAAACATAAATCACTTTACCTTTCCCTTCAACTCACATAATCAATTCTTTTCACCGCATAACCAAACAGACACTTAAATAGAACCATTTATTTTCACATATAAATTTTCACACACAATTTATCCCTTTTATTTTTCATCACATTGCATGACTCATCATCTCTTTTTTATATTTATATTTTCTACTTTTCATCCCTCTTTCTATGACTTATCTTAATATCTCTATTCCAATGATTAATTACCGGGTTTCCATTTCCACAAGCTTGAATATCGCTCAATTTCATAAAACTCTAATTCGTTTTCTGATGCATACACAAATTGTAAACATAAATCATTTATCGTTGCAATCACACGCCATGTCCAAAACCTATTAAACAGAAAAGATGATAATGGCCAATTCAAAATCCGATTAAAACAGATCAAAGTTTTCATCAAGCATAAATCAAATCGGTAAGTGCAAAATCGAATGCGAAAAAAGTGATTTCGGAAAAGAAAACACGTGCCTTGGTTCTGAGTGTGGATCGGATGAGACTATGCATGGTTGATGTTGATGAACAACGAAGATGGAAAATGGATTGAACAAAATGAAGAGTTTGAAACGTGAATGATGACTAGACTGTGAAGAAGAAATAAATAAATAAAGTTCCTATTTATATTATCGTATCGTACTGCACGCATTTGCTAGTCTTGGCTTTTTGTAGTAATCATAGTGAATCTTGACTGAAAAATAAGGCGTGACGTCACTCTCCCGTAAAATCTGAGCCATTAATTGTTTTTAGAGCATATTAATCCAACTACTAAATGAGATTACACTTGACATCCCATAAGAATAGAAATTAATATGTGGATTTTGTTTTGATACGTGATTCATTCTTTCTTTTTTATTTTAATAACTGTAATTAATCAATAAAGTAAGATTTGATTACACAACCATTCAACCTTACACAAATCGGGAGGAAAGACCTTTGAGGATAAGACTTGCAACTTTTTCTTTTGTTAAGATAAGATCAAGTTTAAATAGTCTCAAAGTCAAGTAATTTTTTTTCTATTCACACTAATTAAATCTGATAGTTTAATTTTGTGAAGTAGATGGATAAAATAACATAGGGAATGTGATGGTGATATTGGTAGATACCACTTTATCTTGTTTCTTTTTTTTTATTGAGGATGAAATAATAATACCTTCAACAATGACGAATTAAATTTGGATTTTGATTGTGTAGTGGATTTTGTTTATTGTAAAGCTTTTTATTTTAGAGAGAAAGTGATTGAGTTTAGAAGAGAAATTGAATCTGAGATAGATTTTAAGAATAAATTTTGATAGATTTTAAGAATAAATTTTGATGAAGTTTAATGAAAATAAAGAAGAAGGAATAAGATAGGGATGATAATGGATAAGGTATGGGTAGGGTATTGTTCTGAATTGACCCAACGATTAGAGTGAGTTCAGTCTATGCTACATCTTCAGTACGGCCCATTCGACCATGGTCTGAAATCTCCCGCCCTCCGTCGGGCACCACCAGTTGATGGCTCTCCCAGACCAGTTACGTCCGACAGACACTTCTCCGTATGTCCGACATCAAGTCGATCAAACAACCAAGAGCCGACCAGATCGATGCCCGTAATCTACCTCGTCTTCGGAACTAACGACTAGTTGCGGGCACATCTGTCCGGTTTGACCAAGCCCTGGCAGTTTCTATATTCACGGACCTGGATATCTATGCCCAAAAATAGGAACCAATGGCTACGCGTCAGGGGTATTATATAAACCCTCACACTTCTGAGGGCCAGATATTCACTATTCATCTCATAAAGCATAATATTCTACTCGTATCTCTTGACTCCCACACTTACTTGATCGTCGGAGTGTCTTGCAGCTACAATCCCCTCCTTCTCATCGACCTTTCTAGCCCGTCAAAGATCATTCTTCGGTCAGCTTACATGTTTTTATCACCAGTAAGATCAGTGGTGATGTCTATGGGAAGATATCTTCCTCATTTTCTGTTCTCCGGAATCTAGAGATCAAAGATCCTCCATATTCATCAATCATGGCCGACCATGATGATCACCAACTATCTGGAAATACTATGCTCTCCCCAGTATGCAAGACCAACGAAAGCCAAGAACATTCTCACCTCGAGGACAACTTCGACGACCGTGACGGACATACTACGTCCCCAAATTCCATCGATGTTGATCGCGACAACAATCCATTCTTGGACGAACAGTTCCCCAAGAATCTTGTTGAAGACCAACATGAGAGTCTACAACTGGTCCGTGTTCCACAGAACACCGACTCAGCCATATCAGTATTGATCGTTGCTTGTAATACAATGGGAGAACTGACTTGGTTTTGTGTTTTATCGAAAATATTGCGGATAGTAAGTGTCGCCACCAACTTTTATTTTATCCAATAAGGAAAGAGTGAAAAGAACAGGAAAGACCTTGATAGATTTTGAGTTCGGGGGGTAGATTATGAAATTGGAAGGTGTTAGCACTCTTTTCATCCGTAGTTATCTACGGGCTCTTAATCGCTAGCTCACTTTTTGAAAATGCTTTGTGTTATGTGTTTGAAAATATTTTTAAAATGCCAATTGTAGGGTGAACTTTGTAATGATTCTCGTATCCGTCCTCGAGAATGCGTACAAAGTGTTTTGAAAATATTTTGAAAGTGTTTGTGAGAAATATTCTTGTTTTGAAAAAGCTTTATGAGCAAGCGATTAATAGCGTTCTACCTACTCAAAGGTCTTTCTCGTACTTTCCTTCTCCTTTATATAATGTTATCATACCATTAGTTAGTAGGAAGCCCTATCATTGGACGTGAAGGGACAGCCGTGGGTCATCGTATAGTCATTAAAGACAACTGGTAAGGTCGCTTTAGCAATTATAATTAAGGGACTAGATCATTTACCGAAGGCAACATCAAAAGGGTCATTGAGGGACTATGATCTTTATTTTTGAGGGACTTTACTAAAGCGTCCCCATGTTCGAGGGACATGACTGTTTTCCGAGGCAATAAGGGAGGTTACCCTAGAGGTGCGAGGTGATTTTTTTTCATTTATGTTTATCTTTGAAATTAGGGTTAGCTATCGTTTCATTATTAGTCTTTCTATACAAGCCTAATTACTAAGTAGTAAACATAAAAATAATGAAAAGTAATAAAGTGAGGAAAGGTAAATCCTAAACTATTACAATGCTTTGGGATAGATGCATAAGTAAGAGAATGCAGAAAGTAAACCCTAATTACTATTACAAACCGGGAAATAATTACGTAATCGGAAAAAGTGTGAGAATAATAAACCATGCAAAGTGTAAAAATAGAAAAAAGAGAAGCGAACATGTTTTTGGTGACTTTAAAAAAAAGGTTTTGATGATTAACCTAAAAAAACCGAATTAATTTTGATTAAAAAATTATTAATTAAATTAATTAATTAAAAATCTAATTTGATTTTAATTAAAAAGATGATTAATTAAAAAAACTAAAACCCTAATTAATTTAGGGTTTGTAAAAAAAAGATTTTGAAAGAAATTAGGTTTTGAAAGAAATTAGGTTTTGTTTTGGTTTTCAAAGGAAAAGAAGGAAAAGAGTAAGAAGAATAAAGAATAAACCAAAATTGTCAGGGGTGGGTGTTGAACCCACGCCCTTAGCATTCCTGACCAGGCTGTCCACCACTGCGCCAAGCGCGCGCTTGTGATAACGAATGGAAACCAACACGTTTCATTTTGTACCTGCAAAACATGGAAAATTATGAAACAAATCTCAAAATACCAAAAGCAGGGATCGAACCCGTGCCCTTGCATAGTAAAGCCTTAGCGCGTACGTTTTAACCAATGAGGTGGTGATACATCCATTGTTGTTGGTGAAAAAAATAAACATGACATTAACAAACATTGTATGACCGGAGAGGCGTCCGAGCCCTAGCTCCGGTCGTCTTCTCCGGTAGCTTCTTTTACGTTCCTGTGAAACAAACAAATATTAGCGATCCATGGGGACCCTACCCCCTTAAATAAAGGCCTACAAATTCAATGGAATGATTAGTTTGGGCTGAATCCCACTGGTTTATGAGCTACAACGAAAATTGCATGGATCAGTGTGGTTATGACAACTCGCGATTCTGGTAGCATGAAGGTCATGCGATTGACTTTTCCTGCACTAACATACCTCTGAAACACATTGATATAGTTAGTATGCATTAAAATTCAAAGGAAAACAAAATACAAAATTCATGCAATAAGGTAAATCAGTGATGCATGTTTATGCATTTCAGGCCATTTGTATCGTTGCAAACGGTTCAATCTTACACTCTTGCGTCCCTGGAAGTGAATGAAATGGTTAGAGTGCTTTAAAAACAACTGCAAATAGGTTTTACAAGTTGCCCTAATGTGAATGATTTTGGAGTTTTTGGAAGGGTGTTCTTTCACAAGGGTTCTGTTTCCTGTTTTTCTGAATGAGGAAGAATATATAATGGAGAATTAGGTCAGCCAAACATGGGCTTGGACTTGTATGAAGAACCTTATTTTTATCTTATTTATTTTGAATTAATAATGAATAAAAAATCAAAATAAATAGAATAAAATGTCAAAGGGTGCATGAGTAATATGTGAGGTCCATTATAGGCTACAAAACACGTTTGGACTTTGAAACAATAGCCCATTAGCCCAAAAATCCAAGTTTGGCCACTTTTGGTTTCATGCATTTGCTCAAAATTTCCCAACTTGCACTAGTCATAACTTTCTTAATTTTTATCATTTGAAGGTGATCTTGGATTTTTTTGAAAACTCAAGATGTCTTATACACTCCCTATTTTGATCATTTTTGCATTTGAAGATTTATCTTGATGTAAGTTGCCTTGACAAAAAGTGTCTTTTTGTTGACTTTTGAAATGACCAATAATGTATTGGCCCATATATCTCAAATGAAGCATTTTTTTGGACTTGATCTTAGAGAGACAAAGTTGTAGAGAATTAAATTTCCTTCAAAATGATATTTGGTTAAGTTAAATCTGATGAAGCATGTGAAAGTTATGCTTGGTCAAAGTTCAGTTGACTTCTCCTTAAGAAAATCCTAATTTGTCAACTTTTAACTTTTGATGATTTGGGAGTTTTCTTGATGAATCATGATCAACCCTTGATCAAATGATGAATGTGACTTCAAAATATTGATGTTAACCAAAACTTTGTGATGCAAGGCATGAAGCCCTTAGGGACATATAAGAAACCATGACATCCACTTGAGGCCTTAAAAACCCAAACTTTTTTGAGAAAAGTGAAACCCTGGTTGTAA